GAATCGACTCGACGGCATCAGGTTTGTTGTTTTGTTTTTTTATTGTAATTAAACTATTATCCCTCCGAAACACTCCAAAAAGATAAAATAATGATCATGAGAATATTTTTACTTATACTTAAAACCAAGACAAATTTTGAAAAAAGTACTCTTTTATTTATTCTTCAACATCAAAGCAGCACCCTTCATGGTAGAGGACACCCCCGTCCTTTTGAGTTTAGCATTTTCACGGATAAAATTGCGCCTACGAATTGGCCTACAGTCGAACTTCTTGTTAGAAGCATCGATTTTGGCTTGTGCATTCTTCGGTGGTATGGCACTTTGAGGTAACCCATTGATTTCATACATCCAGTACATATCTGCTGTCTGGAAACAAAGAGAGGAAGTGATTTTATATGATATATCCAGCGACTGAGAGAAGAGTAGGAAAAAGTTTACTCTAGTTAACATCTTCTCTTATCCATGGAGGGTATGGGAAAGGTACAAAACTCAAAGTATACCTATAGTGACATAAAATTAATGTGGAAAAGAAATTAAGAAAAGCATTTGGCTTTATGGGCTAAGCATCCATCTGATATGAGGAGACGCAATGTATTTGCTTTGCATGAAACTGTTGCACAGCATGAACTATAGCTAAAGAAAACAATGCCTTATATTTTTTCTGTATATGTGCACAAGAAAGCAAAGTTAAATTAGACAGTCTAATGTTTCCTGCATGTTTATGTTCATACTTAAATCTCATTGCTCCTGCAGAATTGTTTTACTCTTATCAAGATTTGTACCATGTGTGCTCAGAAAACTCATTCAGAATAAGTCTAGTCCAAGTGAATATTGCAGTGCAGCAGGGTTTGACATGGACTGTGCTATCTATCAATGAATATTGATTAAGTGTATGAATTTCTTGCACATCTGGCCTGGCCTTATTTTAATCATGTCTAGTCTTTTCTATCTGCTGTTTGTAGTAATTCTGAATTCTGATTCAATGAGACAAAAGAGGACCAAACCAAGAACCACACTGAATCTGGGTTAGATAACATTTTACTTCACATCAGGATGTTCATTTTGAAAAACAAAGCTATGTTTTGGTGATCGTATTTCATTGTAAATTCTTCATTACGACTGACCCACTTCATGGGTACAAATGAGTGAGTTAAATGAAGGGACTTGCACCAACACCCAACACTTACTGGGTACCACTAAGTGAATTACATAGAGGGACTTGCACCAGCCTCCATAATTTAGTGGATACAACTGGAAGAGCTACATGAAGAAGCCTGCACCCACACTTGGCACCTAATGCATACAAATAAGTGAGCTACTTGAAGGGACCTACATCCATGCCGGGTACCTAGTGGGTAGAGATGAGTAAGCTACAAGAAATGATCTTCACCCAGCCCTGCACTTGGGGTACAACTGAGTAAACTACAAGAAAGGGCCTGTACTCATACCCAGCACCTACTGTGTACAAGTAAGGGAGCTATAAGAAAGGACCTACACCCAGGCATGGAAATTATTGGATACCAGTGAGTGAACTACATTAAGGCACCTGCACCCATGCCCAACACATTGTTGGTACAAATGAGTGAGCTACATGAAGGAACCTGCGCCCATGCCTGGCTCTAGTGGGTACACAGAGGGACTTGTAACTTTTGTAACTTTGCCTGGTACTTATCTCCAAGGACCCTCTATAAAAAATGACCTATAAAGACACTATTTTTAAAGCCCTAATTTTATTGAATGTATTTCAATTAATCTTCCAAAAATTTTGCAATGTGATGCTGATGTTTTTATGTACATACAAACACACACATATATATATATTTTTTTTTCCCCAGAAGTCCCAAAAGGTTTTTCTGCTGGTACCAGGGAATTAACAAATCTTGGGAACATTCCTCAATCAAAAACTGAATGGCGACAATTGGTGTATAAATATTCCAACTCCCTCAACCCCTCAGGTGGGATAATTTTTTAAAAAAAATTTTACTGTGTTTTAGGTGAAGGTTTACACAGCAAATTAGATTCCCATTCAACAATTCATAAACAAATTCTTCTGTGACACTGGTTAGAATTCCTGCAACATGCCAGCACTCTCACCATTTCTACCCCGCTTGCCCATCCATCCAGCTTCCCTACCCCTCCTTGCCTTCTCGTCTTTGCTTTTGGGTAAATGTTGACCTTTTGGTCTCATATAATTGATTGTTTAAAGGAGCATACTCCTCATGGAGGTTATTGTTTATTTTACAGGCCAATCTATTATTTGGCTGAAAGGTGATCTCTGGTGAGAGTGGCTTCAGTTTCATGTTAAAAGGGTGTATTAGGGCGATAGTCTCGGGGGTTTCTCTAGTCTCTCTCAGTCCGGTAAGTCTGTTCTTTTTTATGAATCTGAGTTTTGTTCTACATTTTTCTCCCATTCTAACCAGGACCTTCTATTATGTCCCAGGTCAGAATGGTCAGTAGTAGTAGTCAGGCACTATCTAATTCTTCAGGTCTCAGTCAGGTGGGATGATTCTGAGGTATGTGTCTAATACCATTTCCCAGACATTCCCCATGTGACTAAATTCCAGTTGTCTGCTCTGCTAGTTGTCTTGATAAAGCACCCCTTATTGACATCTTTTCCTTCTCTTGTTTCACGTCCTGGTTTCCCTACATGTGTTTCCTGAGATCACATAGCAAACAGGCTATCTGGACTTGAATCCTTACTTGAGGGTCTGCTTCTGAGGAATCACAAGT